ATTTGTACTTTGTGGTATGGGCCCCTTTTGAGGGCTTGAAACATCAATTTTACCATTTTCTTCTGTTGAATAGCAGAACTAATTTTGATTCTATTAAGAGTTTAGTTACAGACTGTTATGCTGAATTCACTTTGGACCAATGGTGTACTAGCACTAGGGCTTATCTCCTATGAGCTGAAATCACTGGATCCTGTGTTAATTAGTGGGGGAGCCTGAAGATTTATTGCTAAACAGCTGGCAGAGTAGGGCAGTTTGTGAGATAGCTGGAGGGACTCACAGGACAGCTGGAGGAGTGGAGTGGCTTGTGGTGAAAGCTGTTTGTGGTGAAGGCTGCTGCAGAACCCCATGGAGAGGCGGGGCAGTTGGCCTCAGACCATGTAAGGTGCCCCTTAATACCCCGTGTGCCCCTTTCTCCCCCACCCCATTTCCACCCAGCCTGGGGGAGCGGGGGTAGGACTCTGCAGATAAACTTTTGAACTCTGGGGCTGCACTGACCAGGGACAGAGACTTTTGGTTGATTCTTGGGTTGCTGGACTCAAGAGACTTTTGGGGTGTTGGACTTTTGGAACTTTGGGGGTGGGTTTTTGCTCATGGTTTGTGTTATGAATCCTGTTTGTGGTGTTTTCCCAATTTAATGCTGATGTCGTTTACCTCATGTTATTAAACATTTTCTGCTACACTCAGACTCCGTGCTTGCGAGAGGGGAAGTATTGCCTCTTAGAGGCGCCCGGGGGGTGGTATGTAATTGTCCCAGGTCACTGGGTGGGGGCTCGAGCCGGTTTTGCTTTGCGGTATTGAAACGGAACCCCTAGATACAGAACCGGCCCTTGTTGCTGCCAACTCAGATGGGCAGAAGGGTTACAACTGTCAGGAAGGAACTGTCCCTGAGTCAGAATCTCCCTAACCTGCTACTGTGGGGTTCTCTGAACCATCTGGTACTGTCACTATCGGAGACGGGACACAGCGCAAAGGGCCTCTGGGCTGAGCCTGTCTGGCCAGTCCGATGGTCCTAGTTATTAAAAAAAAAACGTTTTCCCGCTGCTCTTCCTGTTTTCAATGCACTGAAAGCGCCCAGACAAAGCCAGGAAGGTCCCAGGCTTCATAAGAAAGCCGGCAGCTTTTGTATCTCCAGCTCAGGCATGTTTTGAGGACATTTCAGTGCAGAGAGAGGAAAGAATAAAACACCACAAACTTGCCCCAGCGAGTTCTTTTCTGCTGCTCGAAAGCGCTGGGGGGCGATTCCCAAAGCACCCACCAGCATTGTCTTTGCTACTGAAAGAAGGGCCCCGACCTTCAGAGGTATTTCAGCCCCCCCTGACATTCCAAAGACAAAACCTTTTTCATCAGAAAACATTTGGCCAGCTCGAACTGTTCCCTGATGAACTGGATTCAGGTCCTTTTAACCCAAATTATCTCATCCTGTAGCACTGCCTGAACTGAACTCTAACAGTTTAAATTCACGCCTTGGGTTAAATGAGTGACACTGTCTGCAGAGTGCCACTCGGCAAGCTGGGTTTTGGTCTCGTCAACCCAAAGTGTTAAAAAAACCCAGCATGAATCAGGCCTTAAAAAAGCATGAGTACAACTCTAAGCAACGCCGGACGCTGTTTGTTTTTTTTAGTTCAGATCTTTGTGGGTTCCCCCCACAACACTTTTCTCCCTTTTTTACTTTTTCTGCAGGGAAAACTGTTCATCTTCCGACCCATTTATGCCTCTGATGTTTGCTGTTTATGAAAATTTGAATCTCACGGGCTCCCTCCCACAT